GCTCAAGAACCCAGCCAGAATAGGCCGGGGAAGACCTGACAAGGGGTGGTGCTCAATGCTACAGAGGACCAGCAGCAAGTCCTGGGGCCACTCTAGGCCCACCAGAGGCAGACGGCTGCCTCTCCCCGGATGTGCGGCATGAGGGCAACCAGCGTGGAGCACGAGCAGCTGCCTTTGGGCGACACTAAGCCAAAGGAGCCCCATGAAGAGGCTGTGCTCGGCTGCAGAGGAAGGCAAAAAACCCCAGGGACACTTGCCAGTCCAGCCTGGGAGAAAAAAGCCCTCCCCCCCCCCCCCCCAGCTGCAGGACACGAGGGGCCACCTTCATGGTGCGCGAGCACCAGGCAATAACGCAGCCAGAAAGGACCGAGGAGCCCTGACAAGTGGTCATGCTCAGTGCTCAGAGGAAGGCAAAAAAAAACCCGGGGACCGGTGCCAGTCTGCCCCGGGGCAAAATTCCTTCTTGACCCCAGTGCTGGCGATCGGCTACTCCCTGAGCATGTGAGCAAGACCTGCTCCTGGTCCGAGGGCTGGGTATGCCGCTAAGGGGACAAGGGGACAGTGGCACTGCCTTTTCTGCCTCCACCTGGAGCCATCTCAGGGGCTTCCAGCAACACTAAGATGCCATTGTTCTGATGACTCCTTAGAGCAAGAATCCTTCCTGTGCTTGGCAGTAGGAGCTCCAGAGCACTGGGGGAGGGCACTGAGTGATCTGTGCATCCTTTTTCTTCTGGTTGCTGCCACTCTCTCCCCAGGAGATGAGGATGCCGAGCTCCTCGATGACTGAAGCAGGATTTCCTTCCTTTCCTTCCTTTCCTTCCTTTCCTTCCTTTCCTTCCTTTCCTTCCTTTCCTTCCTTTCCTTCCTTTCCTTCCTTTCCTTCCTTTCCTTCCTTTCCTTCCTTTCCTTCCTTTCCTTCCTTTCCTTCCTTTCCTTCCTTTCCTTCCTTTCCTTCCTTTCCTTCCTTTCCTTCCTTTCCTTCTTTTCCTTCCTTTCCTGCTGATGAACTTTGAGCGTGGCCCCTCCAGGAACTGGAACTGCAGCACCGAACCTCCCACAGCTTCATGCGTCTTGAAGTTCTTCCCCCATTAACCCCCTCCCAGTAATTCCCCCGCTGCCTTCAGGGCTTCCCCTGGGATGCCCTCAGGCTGCCAGCTCTGTCATGGTGGCAGCGCCAGGCACTCTGGCAGTGGGACGGGAGGGCGCTGGACTTATACTGCCCCAGAGCATTGTGTTGCTGCGTTGGAGGGTGCTGGCACTATGACATGGCAGTGATGGGGCCCCCGCAGCCCTGCCCACTGCAGCCCTGCTGCTGCTGCCCCTTCACCCCGCATCCCTTGGAGAAAGGCCTTTGGGCTGCTGGCCCTGACGCAGTGCCTGTGCCCAGGAGGCCCAGGCAATGTCCCTGCCCATGATGGCCACACACTGGGCACCACTGCGGGGTGTCCCTGTAAATAAATCTGTGTGTTCAGACCGTATCCATAAAGGCTTTTATACCACGTACAGTCATTTGACTGTGGCCATCCCAAAGGTGAAAGAAAGGGGTTTGGGTTCCCTGTGCATGAACTTTACAGAAACGTAGAGAGCATGCATCATTTCCTCACCACTCCTTATCAATACACCAAGTGACATTTGCTACTACACTGCTTATGGTGAGGTCTTCTTCTTGAAAAGAAGAATTTAAGGAATCTCTTCTGGTTTTTTTTGTCATGGTTTAAGCCCAGCCGGTAACTCAGAACCTGGGAGCCCCTCGCTCACTTCCCTGCTTCTTCCTCCCCCTGCTCCCAGAGGGATGGGGAGGAGAATGGAAAGAATGTAACTCCCATGGGTCAACATAAGAACAGTCCGGTAACTCAGGTATAACCCAAAACCACTGCTGCTACCGCCAATAATAAAAATGAGAAGAGAGAAAGGGGAGAGAATACAATTGCTCAGCACCTGCCGACCGATACCTAGCCCGACCCGAGCAGTGATCTAGCCTTTCTGGATAACTCCCCCCAGTTCCTGTAGCGGGCATGACGTGCTGTGGTATGGAATACCCCTTTGGTTAGTTTGGGTCAGGTGTCCTTTCTCTGCTTCCTCCTGGCTTCTCCTCCTCCCTGGCAGAGCATGAGACTCAGAAGGTCCTCCTTGGTCAGAGTAAGTGCTACTGAGCAGCAACTAAAAACACCAGTGTTATCAGCTGGAGAGTATGGAACTCTTATCTGGGGACAGATGATGAGTCAACAGAGAGCTTTTGGGTCAGGTTCAAAGAGAGAACTGCGATGTGATGTACGTTACTATGGGGATCTGTAACAGGCTGCCTGCTCAAGAGGACTCTGTTGGTGATACATTCTATAGACAGATAGGAGCAGCCTCATGCTTGTAGGCCCTTGACCTCATGGGGGATTTCCACCACCCTGACATCTGTTGGAATGACGGTACGGCCCGGGACAGGCAATCCGGGAGGTTCCTTGATTGTGTGGAACACAACTTCCTCTTGCAAGTAACAGCTCAGCCAACGTGGAGAGGTGCCATGCTTGACTGCATACTCACCAACAGGGAGGGGCTGGTGGGGAATGTGACGCTCCAGGGCAGCCTTGGTTGCAGCAATCATGAGATGGTCAAGTTCGAGATCGTCAGGACAGTGAGAAGGGCACGCAGCAAGCTCACTGCCCTGGACTTCAAGAGAGCAGAATTTGGCCTCTTTGGGAGGTTCCATGGGATAAAGCCCCACAGAGGGCAGGGGGGCCCAAGACTGCTGGTTGGTATTCACCTGCTCCAAGTTCAGGAGTGTTGCATCCTGACTAGATGTAAATGCAGCATGAAGGCCAGGAGGCCACTAATGAATGGATAAGGAACTGCTGAGAAAACTTAGAAGGAAAAAAAGAAGCTTATAAAAGGCAGAAGCAAGGACAGTGTCTTGGGTTCAGCAGCCTTTGTCCGGGAAGCTAGGGACCAGGTCAGGAAAGCTAAGGCCTGGTTAGAATCGTCTGGCAAAGGATGTGAAAGATGACACTTCTATAGGTATGTCACAAGCAAAAGACAGACTAGGGATGATGTGGACTCTCTCCAAAAGCTATCAGGAGGACTGGCTACCCTGGATTTTGAGAAGACTGAGGTTCTCAATTACTTCTTTGCCTCAGTCTTCACCGGCAAGTGCTCTGGCCATACCGTCCAAGTCTTGGAAGGGAGATGCAGGGACTGTGAGAATGAAGACCCTAGGCCCACTGTAGGAGAGGATCTGGTTTGAGACCATCTTAAGAAACTGAACGCACGTAAGTCCATGGGACCTGATGAAATCCATCCGCGGGTCCGAAAGGAGCTGGGGAATGAAGTTGCTAAGCCACTGTCCATCATATTTGAGAAATCATGGCAGTCAGGTGAAGTTCCCAATGACTGGAAAAAGGGAAATATAACTCCCATTTTCAAGAAGGGGAAAATGGATGACCCAGGGAATTACAGACCAGTCAGTCTCACCTCTGTGCCTGGCAAAATCTTGGAGCAGATTCTCCTGGAAGGCATGCTAAGGCACATGAAAAACAATGAGGTGGTTGGTGGCAGCCAGCATGGCTTCACTAAGGGGAAATCCTGCCTGACCAATTTGGTGGCCTTCTATGATGGGGCTACAGAACTGATGGACAGGGGTAGAGCAGTTGCCATCATCTCCCTGGACTTGTGCAAACCGTTTGACACTGTCGCACAAGACATCCTTGTTTCTAAATTGGAGAGACATCAATTTGATGGATGGACCACTCAGTGGATAAAGAACTGGCTGGATGGCCACACACAAACAGTTGTGGTCAACAGCTCAATGTCCGGCTGGAGACCAGTAACGAGTGGTGTCCCTCAGGGGCCAGTTTTAGGACCAATCTTGTTCAACATGTTTGTTGGTGACATAGACAGTGGGATTGAGTGTGCCCTCAGGAAGTTGCTGATGATACTAAGTTATGTGGTTCGGTTGATACACTGGAGGAAGGGGATGCCATCCAGAGGCACCTCGACACGCTTGTGAAGTGAGACCATGCCAGCCTCATGGAGTTCAACAAAGTGCAAGGTTCTACACCTGGGTCGGGGCAATCCCAGGCACAGCTACAGGTTGAGCAGAGAAGAGATTCAGAGCAGCCCTGTGCAGAAGGATTTGGGGGAGTTGGTCGATGAGAAACTGAACACGAGCTGGCTTCAGTGTGAGCTTGCAGCCCAGAAAGCCAACTGTATCCTGGGCTGCATCAAAAGGAGTGTGGTCCTGCAGGTCAAAGGAGGTGGTCCTGCCTCTCTACTCTGCTCTCACTTGGATTATTGCGTACGGTTCTGGTGTCTCCAACATAAGAAGGACATGGAACTGTTGGAGCGACTCCAGAGGGTGGCCATGAGGATGATCAGGGGACTGGAGCACCTCCCGTATGAAGACAGGCTGAGAAAGTTGGGGCTGTTCAGCCTGGAGAAGAGAAGGCTGCGTGGAGACCTCATAGCAGCCTTCCAGTACCTGAAGGGGGCCTACAAGGATGCTGGGGAGAGACTCTTCATTAGGGACTGTAGTGATAGAACAAGGGGTAATGAGTTCAAAATTACACAAGGGAAGTTCAGGTTAGATATAAGGAAGAAGTTCTTTACTGTGAGGGTGGTGAGGCACTGGAACAGGTTGCCCAGAGAAGTTGTAAATGCTCTATCCCTGGTAATGTTCCAGGCCAGGTTGGACAGAGTCTTGGATTGACATGGTCTAGTGTGAAGTGTCCCTGCCCATGGCAAGGGGGTTGGAACTACATGATCTTAAGGTCCTTTCTAACCCAAACCATTCTGTGATTCTGTAAGAAATTTTTTACAATGAAGGTGGTAAAATACTGGCACAGAGAGGTGGTGGATGCACCGTCACTGGAGACAATCAAGTCCAGGCTGGATGTGGCTCTGGACAACCTGATCTAGTTGAAGATATCTCTGCTCATTGCAGAGGGGTTGGACCAGATGACCTTTGACGCTCCTTTCCAACTCAAACTATTCTATGATGCTATGATCACCAGGCATGGTGTGAAACAACATTTTATTCAAGACAGCCCTTCTGTTTGCAAGCTGGACATCCATACTGAAGGACTGTGGCCACAGCCAGAGCTGGTGCAAGGCAGATCAGCTGCACAGGTGGACACCTATACATTTGCCCCAGGTGATGGTGCTCAGCCACACTTGCCCAGGCACTCAAGGAGCTCCATGCGGATAGCAATGCGCACATGCCAGCCCAGTGGGATGAGGCGGATGTAGCGGGCCACGATGGGTGGCCGCAGCAGGTTCTGCACCGAGGATGAGCGGTCTGAATTGCCATAGAAAACCTGTGGAGAGAGGTATGGGCAGGTGGTTAGGGGGCTGGAAATCCTGCCCCATGAGTGTGGGGTGCTTGTGCAGAGCAGAGAAGGAGGAGGCTCCCTCTCCTTCACCCCCAAAATTAAAGACTAAAAAGAGCCAGGTGCAGAAAACTTGTCACACTCACAGGGTTTTCTGAGTAAGTCACTTTCCTCCTGTTGTTTCTGCACTTTTTATAGTTAGGCTGGACTTAATCTCACCCCATTTTCTCTCAATTGCCTTCCCATAGCAAGGCACTGCATGTTTGGAGTGAGTATGGTTGGCCTTGGCTGTTTGCATTTCATGAGCAGGGCTCCCAGACACACTGATTTAGACAAAAAATGTATTCAGGGGCCTTTTTCCTCTGCTTGGCCATGTGCCACATCTCCTCCTGCCAAGACCTGTTTTCAGGGAAAGCTCAGCATCTCCCCAGGGCTACAGGAACTAGTACTTCAGCAAAGCCACCTGAGCCTCCCATGCTGGCATGGGGCAATCCCCACAGATGGATACTGAGGATGGCTAGGATGCAGCAGCTGTGGCATCCCCCAGGCCAGGTGGGATGCAGGTGTATGACAGCCACAACTGTACCATCTCCCCAGTGCAATTTTTTGCTTCAAACCAACCCCTAAGTGCAGCATGACAGTAGTTCAGTGGGTTGTGACTTAACCAGTTGTGGATTTTGTCTCAGGGTTTTTTCTGTGTTGTCATCATGCAATAGCCCTGAATTTATGGCAAAAGGAGCCCCCAGTCTGCAGTGCTCAGGCATGGCCGGGGTTCTGTGGCTGCAGCCAAGAAAGAGGTTCCACCATGGAGGTGCTGCCTCCTCTCTCAGCTAATGCCTCCAAGCTTTATGTGGAGTCCCCTGTTATCATTAGAAAATACTTAAAATTCATTCTGTCCATCTGTGGCTGGTCAGTGTGGAACTCACCCTCACCACATGGGAGGATGCCCTAACTGTGCTGCCTCTGGACTTGGGGTGAGCACCAGGCCACATCCACCCTGCTCCTCCCACAGAACCCCCCTCTAGTGGCACCTCCCTGGCAGGATGTGATTTGTTCATGTCACCAAATAGGCCATCCCTGCACCAGTGGCCAAAGTGCAAAGTCCACCGACCCGGTTGTTGCCGGTCTGGTCCTTGTAGTAAACCCAGTTGAGGTTTTCATCGGTGCGGTACTGCATGCTGTACTTGGTCATCCACTCATCGGCATCGCAGCGCCCCTGCGTGAGGATTCCCGAGATCACCTTCACCTCTTTCAGGTCGATCTGCAGCCACTGGCTGTTGTCCTGGTACTTTGAGAGCCACGCACACCTGGGGGGACATCACTGGACCCAATACATCTGCCACCACTGCCCTCCGGGGCAGGCCCTCCTGTTCCCACACAGACAAGGGTCGCTGGTCCATGGGGCCGCCTGGGGAGGCATTTCTGAACTCACCCGAATCCTTGACCATTGAGGCGGGCCTTGTTGGCCGTCCAGGAGGAGTACCAGCCCGTGTACTGTTCAGGGTTGGAGCAGCTTATCTGGTCTGGGGTGACAGCGCCGGACTCAAAGCCCAGGGGCTTGTGGTAGGGGCACTCTGCAAAGCAAAGGAAAAAATACCTTAAGGGTGTCTTTGTTCCCTGGGTGTGTTTGTACATGTGTTGTCAACACCTTCTGTGGTTTCACTGCTCTTAGACCCACACTACAAACCCTGCAGTATTTGCTGCACAGGGCCATGGCATCTTCATTTTTAACTCTAGTGTGAATTTCTAACTCTTATCTCTCTATCAAACTTATTAAACCTGTGCTGCCTGCAGCATTTTGAAGGGAAGATTTTATCCAGATGTTGCAGTCCAAATTTCCTTCTTGCAAGCATGTGGAAGCAGATCCAGACTGGGATCCATTGACCTGAATCCAGCCTCCAGGTTGTCAAGTCTCTGCCTGGTTCTTGGAGAAATGCCTCTTCTTACTGGGCTTTATCTCCTTCTGCTCCTCCTCACTGACCTGATTTATGGCCATGCCTGCATGGCAAAATTGCTGAGTCTGCTCTGATCAGCCCTCAGATCTTCTGCATTTTCTGCTACGGAGACTGTATCTGGAGAAAGTCATCTTGTGGAAAACCTGTGGATACTCTGGTGCCAGTGAGATTTCATGCTTGGCCCTGCTGAAGGCTTAAGGATGTCCATCTGAGGTTTTGCCTTCCAATCTTCAGGCTACCAAACCTGATCCCACAGCTGTCTTCCACCACAGTGAGAAGTTCAGCAAGACTCTGCTGGCTGCAAAAGCCCTAGGGGCAGAAATATTCATTCACTATTAAAAACTTCTGTGGTGGGTCACCACACAGTGCTCTGGAAGGCAAGCCTTTAGTCATGCTGCCATGCAGATCATCTACATGCTGCCTGAACATAGTTGTGAGGTTTTTTTTGTTACGAATGGCAGACATGCAGGGAGCATCAGTGGGCACCCAGAGCTTGGCACGACTGCAGCTTCCCCCGTTCAATGGCCCAGTACTGCAGCCATGCAGTCAATGTCTCATTAGCAAGCTCCACTGTGTCGATATCCTATGCATCAATATCTCATTAACATATCTTGCTCAGTCAGTACCGCATTAACATGGCTTTCCCCATGGAAGAACATAGCTGCTGTCCCACTTTCCTCCAGGCATGGAAACATCATGCTTTTCCACCACGTTAAAACCCTTGCTGGGCTGAGGTGGCCCTGTGTTGTTTACTACTCGACAGGCTTATCTCAAACACCGCGTAACTTTACTTTTAGCAATACTAAGCCTCTGACCACACAACTGTAATGCAATTAGCAGGTCACCTTCTGGCATGTCCAGCTGCCCCATGTGCACAGGCACACAAAACAGATGCCTGGTGCCCTCCTAGCCAAACCGGCTGAGCCATTTAATGCTGTTACTGCAAACCTGAAGAAAACTCATGGAGTGGTTGTGAGGCCAGCTGCTCCCCTCCAGCCCTGCCAGAGACAGCTCTGCGGCACATCAGAACTGCTGCTCTGCAAAGCATCACCAGGCAGCGGAGGTGTGAGGCCTCACCACTATGGCTGGGCTGGGGAGAGAGACAAGCTGGGAGATACAGTGAGGAGATCCATTATTCAGAAGAACAGCCTTTATTAGTCAAGGAAGATACCTTCATTACTCAGCTACATATTGTTAATGTGTGAGAGCACCCCTCACAACTAGCCTGGCCAAGAAACCTAGAGCTGCTCCTCTCACACGTGTCCCTCAGCCATGGAGAGATCAACCAAACTTGCCATGTCTCCTCTCCTTTCCTTCCCTTTCAAGGAACAAAGTTTTAAAATGAAAGCAGGTAGGTTTATATTGGACATGGAGAAAAAAAATTTTGTGACACTGTTGGTGAGCCACTGGAGCAGGCTGTCTAGAGAAGTTGTGGATGCCCCATCACTAAAATTACACGAGGTCAGGTTGGATGGGGCTTTGAGAAACCTAGTCTAATGAAAGATGTCTTTGCCAAAGGCTGGTGGGCGCATTGATGATCCTATGACAAAGAAGAGTTGTGATAGCCAGAACTTTGAAGGAGCGGTGAGCCCAGGAGGGCTGTACCAGCTCAGGCTCATGTTTGGGGTAGTGCATATGGGTTTCTTGCATAAGACACTGGAGGAAACTCTCACAACAGGACATATAAAGTGTCATTTCTGGAACTCCTGTAAGTGATTCTTCTGCATCACAAGTGCTATCTACAGAAAATGCCTTTTTCCTTTTCAGACCTACCCCAGCAGGCAGCCCTATGGAGATAACAGCTGCAGAAACCAGAATGACAGTGTGAGAAGCCGTAACCCTTTACTGGGGGTGTTTGGGGCTGCTCTGCTCGGGGGACAAGACACCACCCATGCACAGTGGTTGAATCCTCCCCCTTGTAGTTTCTCCAGACAGCAAAGAAGCCTGTGGACAATGTTCAAGCTGGTTGAGGCCCAGGCAGATGTGGCCTCCACAGGAGCAGGATGCACAGAGGGAGAGCTCAGGGAAATCAGATGGGCAGACCAGGATAACTGGAAAGCCTCTGTGCTTGTCAGCTCCCTCACACTGTAGGAGGGAAACCTTCAGGTCCAGCAGAAGCATTGGATAGAAACAACTGGGGGTTTTCACCTCGCATTTCTGTTTGTGGCAAGCTCTGCCAATGATGTCATATCTTCTTGTCAATACATGTTTTATTTGCTTTCTAGTCTGTCCTGACTTCCACTGAGAGCTATTCCAAGATAATTCACTTAACCTTCTCCTCCTCCAGGGCAGCCATGACACTGAGCACTGGGGTGATCTTTCCCCTGTGTGTCTCCCCTGGAGCAATGGGGCAGCATAACATACCTCAAGTAGTTGCATAGCCTCTTGCAGGAGCTGGGAGGAAGTGGTTGCTAGTGGGCATGAGGCAGTGGCATGGCATGCCACCCAGCTGCAGCTGGGATGAACACATTAGTGTGACAGAGGCACAAATTAGAGTGAAGCTTCTGTGGAACACACGAGCTAAACTTGAAGGTGAGTTGGGCACTGATAAGACCTTGCTGGGATAACAGCAGGGAAAATGTGGCAGAGAGTAACAAAGAGCTTGATCAGAAACCTGTAAAACATGATCTGTGAGGAGTGGTTGAAGGAGCTGGGCAGAGGCAGCCTGGAGACCCCCCCCCCCCCCCCCCCACACACACATTTGTGGTCTTTTACTGTATAAAAATATGCTGCAAAGAAAGAATAAGCTGTTTTTCTTGACCCTTGGAAAGAGGACACAAAGTACCAGGCTAAACTTCAGCAAGGGAAGATGAGCCCAGGTGGTACAAAAGGTTTCTTACAGCATACTGTATTAGTTGCCCCAGGCAGTTTCCCACACCGGTGTGGAGGGCTGTAGGATAGGGCAGGCAAGCACCCACTGGCACGCACCAGCCTGGGCCACCCTGGGTGATCTTCCAAGGTCCACGCATGACCTCTGCTGCTACTGTCCCTCTGCCTGATGATGCAGGGTCACCCTGCACCTCCCACTGGTACAGCTCCCCTGGCCCCACCAGCAGCTGGGATTGGCATAAGTACCAATAATGTGCCACCTCTGCACTGCAGGGTACAACAGGGGTTGCTGCTGAAGATCACCAGACAGACATGGCTAAAAGTGCACTGGCCCCTTACCTGGCATGCACTCCAAGCTGTTGGTCCTGCTGGACCACACCGAGTTAGGACCTCCTTGACAGTCACATTTGCAAGCCTTGCTGTGCCACATCTCCAGTCGCTCATCCTTAAGGGAAGGTAAAAACCAGTAATAAATCAACATAGTCATCAACAACAGTGACATCAGATAAATCTGAGTACTGAAGCACCCATCCAGGCTGCTGTACCTTCTCTGATCCCCCTCCTTCATTTTGGCCTGGCATGAAACATGGAATGTCTGCCCCTTGGATTCAGAAGTGGGAGTATGTGCCTGGGTTTGGAGGCCCAGGTGCCATCCCTCCTTCTGCCCCGAGGCACCAGAACTGGGCAATGCCAGACCCTCAGCATTTGCCCAGCAGCCAAACCAGCCAGAGACTCTTACCTCTCCTGGAGAAAGGGCCATGGCAGCTGCAGCAGCAGGCATGGAAGGAAGAATAGAGAGATCAGAAATGAAAAGGCTGAAAGAAAATGTTAGGAAATGCAATGAACATTTACTCCTGAGCTGGGGACAAGTAAAGTGAGGAAGGACTGACAAATCTACTGTGCTTTCCCAAGTTAACTGCAGGGGAAAGCAAGAGAACATGGGCAGGAACAGAGCACTATGTGTGCCTGTGTGGGTCCTACTCTTCCACTGTGTTTTCTTTTTAATGCTTTTGGCATCTCCTCTTTCTGATCAGATACACCTGAAACATCCTGAGGAGAAACCCAGGCCAGCCCCCTCAGCTTCTGCTTTACAGCTGATTTTGCCCCTATCCCTTTTTGCCATCTTCTTGCCTCACAGTTTCCCTTTCTTATTGTGCCTGTGTGAGCTGGTGAGTCCCAGGGGTGAAATCCCAGCCCAGTGCCACCGCAAATCACCAATGCCTTTGGAGGAGATGGGACACCCCACGAGGTGTCTGGCCTGAGGACACTCCCCCTGGATGGGATAGAGGAAAATGAAATGTAAATAGGTCTCTCCAATCCATCTTACATACAAGACTCGTTTGTTTTTGTTTTTTTTTTTCCTTAGGCTGTAGAGGAAGAGCCACAAGAGATTTTTGTAGCATCTGACCTGGTTTATCTCCTCCTGCCTGTCACTGAGCAATGGCTTTTTCTAGTGAAGTTCAAAGTAGGCTATGTTAATAGCATTTGGACCATCAGTATAGTGCCCAGTTAACTATGAAAACAAAATAATTTTTAAAAATGGCTGCTGATAACTCATTAACACAAGTCAAATGTCAAACATTGTATATTCAATGCCAGTAGGGAATCTGCAAGCCACTAAGGACCAAGCTTTTGAGCAGGCAAAAACTCGTATGTAAGTTTTGTGAATACAGAAAGAGGACCTTTCCACCAAATGAATTAGACTCTGAATTATTCACTAAAATCTAGTTATGATTTATTCATTCATACACTGTCAATTTGCTGAGCCTAGGAAGCTCCAACTAATGCTGGGAATTTACATCTCACGTTTCTATAGCAAGTTTCATCTCAAAAGACTCACAGACACTGTGCAATTATAATCAGCTGAAATATAAACTATGTACAAAGCTCTTTTTATTACTGAAATGCAACAGCTCCTTGCATGTGACGCTGAGCCTGAATGTATAAAGAGTTTGAAAGAAAGACCCCAGCAAAGAACAAAATTATAAAGAAATTTAAAAAGGAAAATCCCTTTTTGAACACAGAGATGGTGCCCTTTGCTTCAGTGTCCCAGCGCAGCATTTCTGGCATCAGGAACTTACGGCATTAACCCAAGGCATCAGCCCTGGGAGTAGAAGCAAACATCAATCTACAATAAAAAGATGTGGCTTTTAGTGAGGCCCAAGAGGGAGGCAGGAGTCATCCAGATACCATCAAGCTCAGCAGGAAGTCGTGAATGCACGTCTCCAAACCTGGCCTCTCGGAAAGTGTAGGCTGGGGGCCACGCACAACACCACGCTCCACCCTCCCCAGCACAGATGTCACCCAGCCAAGACCTGTGATCCATTGTGCAACAAGAAAACCAAAGCAGAGCTGCAAGCCCAAGGCCATGTAGCGCATTGTCACCTCCATGCTGTGCCACACAGGGCAAAGCAGGTCAACTTAAACCAGAGGGAAGGTGGCCCGGGGAAGCAGCAGGTTTGGCTTGGGGTAAGCACAGCAGTCCTTCCTGAGCAACATGGCCTGATAACCCCTGGCATCAGGAGATGAAAGGAGAGGAAAAGATGCCCTTGCCTGCAGTCGGATAGAAAAAGTAGTAATTGATATATTGGTGTGTTTACAGCTGTGACGGGTCCTGTCCTACAAAGGAAATGAAGAGGAAAGCTGACTGCCAATAGTCTAAAAATGTGATGGCCAGCATGCTTTTATAGTGAGCATGTTTGCCTTCAAGGAAGGTTACAAAGATAATTGGTAATTGTAGGTCAGGCAGAACGAATTGTTGCAATTCATGGGAGAGTCATAAGTCCTGCGTGGTCGCCAGGGGCTGTTGTTTTAAAAGTACAAGATTAAAAAAACCCCAAAACGTTATAAAAGAAAAAGCCCTATTAACAGGCCTCCTCCCTCCTGGACATTCAGCAAACCATCAGTTCAGTGAAATAAATTATAATCTGTGCAAGTCTGTGAGAGGCAGGAAGATCAGGAAGATAAGGCATATACCTTTCCTGTCCCTCCATCCTGCCCTGCAGCATGGCATGTCCAATGCACTGCCATGCAAAAATGCCATCTCATAGTTCAGAATCTGGGGACAGGAGCTTGGGAAAGCACCAAGGGATGATTTTGTGCCTGATGGGAATGGGCTGAAGCATGGGCCCTGGGATAGCCCCGCTTGGCACTTGATGCTGAGCAGGATGAAGGGGAGAGATACCCACAGACCGAACCAGGTCTGGGAGAGAAGGAAAAGAGATGGCAGAGGCAGTCCTGGAATGCTGAGGTGGAGAGGACAGGGGTTTCCTGAGGTGGAAGTGGGCTAAAGCAGCAGCTACAACTTGGGGCTAGCTGGCGAAAGGAAGGGGCAACCAGTAGCATGGAAGCTCAGCTGCTGGCTTTTTAATGACAGGAACAGGTAACTGTGTGCCCCAGAAAATTTGTGGTCATTAACAACATGGTTAAACAGAGAAAGAAAGGAGGAAGGTAAGTGTGCAAAGAAGTAACATCAACAAAGGCAGAGTACATTTCATAGAATCATAGAATGGTTTGGGTCAGCAGGGGCCCTAAAGATCATCTAGTTCCAACCCCCCTGCCATGGGCAGGGACACCTTCCACTAGACCAGACTGATCAAAGCCCCATCCAGCCTGGCCTTGAACACTGCCAGGGATGGGGCATCCAATAAGCCAATAAGGCATTTTGGTAACATCAACTCTGAGAAATAATATTGAACATCCTGCCCATAGGGCCATGACAGCAAGCCATCCTTTTTAGGGTGCCTAGAATTAATGACAGATGTGCAAGCATGAGAAAGCACATTTACAATAAAACAGAGAAATAAAATATAACACAGAATAAAAGTCAGTCATTTGATTTGCCGGAGTAAGTTCACATAAACCTGGCCATTGCAGGTAAAGTATGTGGAAAATGTTAATGACTTTGTTTATTTCTTGACTTTACAATTTAGGTGGTCTAAAAGCTTAATCTGGAAAATAGTTAATTTTGTCTTTCATGTCTGCATGCATCAACTCAGTTTAGCAGAGCTCAGAAAGATGAACAAAATTATTTCCTCTCCTCGTAGTGAAGGGCACTCCCTCGTGATGCATCACTTTCCTAGCATGGTGGCTCCTAGGTGCATAGCTAGTCAACTGCTTCCCTTCTGCACATAGGGCAGGGGAAAGGAAAAATGCTTAAAAAACAGAAAAATTGACTGGAGACCTGAAAAAGGGGTGAGTGGAATGAATGGCACTGGTTTTAACACATTTTCTGAGAGGCACACCACTTCAAGTCCCTGTTTTCCTTGAGCACCGCATTAGAGAGCATCAGGAAGCAGAGCTAGGTACAGCACAGGGGGCTGAGACACTGAAAAAGGTACTGTGGTACCTCTGTGCCCACTGGGTGCTAGTTTGTGGGTTGCTATATTATTAACCTCAGCTATTTTTACATCCCAGGCCTGGAAATCGTGCCAGGCAAGCATGGTGACTCACATCAGGCTGCACCAGCCTCGAGCATGGTGCATTTGGGGAAGCTGCTGCGTCCCAGGCCACCATCATACGTGGCATTTTCCCCATCTCTCCTTACCCCTGTGCCAGAGGTGATGGGACAGCTGTGGCTGGTCCTCAGGTGCCCTTGGCAGGCGTAACCTCCTCACCCAGTCATTTGGTGGTTGCTTATTTGTTTTCCCCTCAGGGCTTTTTCAATGGCCATGCTAAGCAGGATCCTTACTGAGCTGAGCAAACAGTGCCTTTACTTGTAAAACGTGCAGGCTTTAAATGGTCCTTGTGAGCTATGCTGACAGGCAGAGACCATCAGGGCATATGCAGATCTATGTCCACCAGAAGATTTTGGGAGTCAGACTGTCCCGGTGAAAGCAGGCTGTTCATCCGCGGGCTTTCACCACCTAAAGCCACTCTGTAAATGGTATTTTGGCCCTGGCAACCCCCAGCAAGGCAACAGGACCAGCACCAATGCCAGTCTGCACAAGAGAGAAGGGCTCGTATTTCATGTTAAGCATCTCTCTCCTGCTTTAATGCAGCTTCTGCTTTCCTCATTCCTTTTGTGGGGATTTTCTCATTGTTTTATTATTTTCAATTCCATTTCATTTTCTTTCTTTAAATGATTTGTATTTGGTATCCACTTTCATTCATTTGTATTTTGTCTCATATAATATTTGCTGGTATTGATCTGAAAATTATAAAAAACATATTTAAATAAGGACAATTATACCTATGTAATTAATATTATCTTTTATGCCAGCTGTCTCCATAATGTTTCCACATTTTTTTATGTTGTGAAGATATGTGAAAAAAAAAGTTAACAAAAAATCAACCTTTTACCCTTTTCTTCTTAAGAGATGTGTAATTTTTCTAAATTTTTTTTTTTCCTCCAAAGTGTTCCTTTGAAAACTTTTGGCAATTTCTGATCTTATTGACATTTGTTCCTTCCTGCTTAGAGCGTATAGCTATGTAGAACATTGCCTGCATAATAATTTTATTAGATTTATTGATTATGCCAAAGGGCAGCACTAAAGATGTTATTTACTGTGATCTGAGGCGGGTTTGGGCCTTTGATTTTGATTTTTGTGGGGAAAAAAAAGAAAATAATTCTTTTCAACTGCTGAGACGTGCTTATTTCCCAATGTGTAGTGATCATGGCTGGAATAATGCAGCACAGGCATGTCACATTCAATGTGCTAAAAGCGTATTCATGTCAAGCCAGGGCTCAGGGTGCTCCCCCTCACCATATGGAGGGGCCCCGGCAGCTGCTGTGGCTCACGTCACAGGAGCCTGCCTGCTGCACCATATGCTACGGCTGCTGCTGTGATGGTGTCGCCGGCAAACACAAGCCCAGCCAAGGTGTGGGGGGTGCTCCTCTAAGCCACTTCTTTTGCCAGGGAAAATAAGTTAAGTAGCTTATCACGGCTTCAGCACACATGGCTTAGGGGATTGGCCTAGCAGCACCTGCTCCATGGTAGGAGAGGCAGCATTGTGAGGTGAACCAGGGCAAAGCACCACTTCTTGCTCTTTATCCAGAAGAGGACATATGGACCACAAAGCAGAGAAAGCCAGTAAACTAAGAAAACCAGTGAATTAAGAAAATAAATTCAATACCAAAGGAGCGATGCCTGGAAAGAGATCATACAAGTAATTTTTCACTGCAGGCTTTCCAAAAATATCCTGATGTGTGGGTGTCTATTTAAAGCAAGCTGTGTCTGGGATAAAGAGCAAGGTAGGAACTCATTCCAAGGACTAATTGCAGGTTATGCTATGCACTGGGAAAAAAATGCTG